TAGGATACGAGCTACCTACGGAACGAATGTCTACTAGTTTGAGCTTTAAGTGTGACGAAATTAACATGGAAAAATTTACAAAATCTGAAAAAAATATTGTACCAAAAATGATATCGTCTTGTCCTTCAGGACTCTTGGACGAAATAATGAAATATATATTCGTGAATATATAAAAATATGTTCTATGATCGCAATAAAATTTTGAAAATATTAAGAGAGTTTGAGAAGAAACAACATCAAGTATATATAATTGAACTTTTTAAGAGTACTCTGATATGTTTAGCTTTATAAAGGTGCAAATAAATCGCAAGATACATAGTTTGTGTGAAGAAAATCAGACAGAAAGGAGAGGTCCGGAGGGTCCGGTGAGGACACGTTAATGGAGGACGAGAAAAAAATATTATATTACATTATTTAATATGAGAGGGTTGTTTTTGTTCATCCTTGTCTATCATTTGATGTGATCGTTCTATCTCTCTCAACAATCCAACGGTAGGTCGTCGAAGGCGACTGGCCATGTCTCGTGTTAGTTGCGCGCGCGCAGCCGGCGGCACAGGTCGCCCGTTGGTATGGATTTTCCCCTTCATTTTCCCTTATATTAACGTGAGATAGAAATCGTATCACATGAAGTGTTGCGCGATGTGTTTTTGTGTTGAGAGCCACAAAGGATCACAGTGATCGCTGGAGGTGTCGTGGGAACAGTTGTGTGTACTCGTAGTGCGCGGGTTACGTTAGCTCTGATTAACATACAGCGAGTTTTATTTCACCTGCGCGAAAGGTGTTTAAGACTTGACATTTGATACTACTAAACTTTTGTAGGTGGACAATATTTTGTTCGGTTTTATTAGAAATCAACTAAATATAGAGTTTTTAAAACCGTTTTTACAACGCCATAGCTATTACTAGTACCAAAACTATATTTACATCCATACCTTGTAACATACACACATTTGTATACCCAAGATATATTATTATATCTAACTACACAAATCTAAGACAGTATATTAAGATCACGTTTCAAAGAGACAATTTGATAAAAATAATACATACAAACAACATGAACGTACTTGAAGTAATATAATGTTCACATATAGTTGTTGTCTCGGAACACGTTGACGACACTATCATGATTATAATAAAGCTTGTGTTCTGAGTTAGGTCAGCTCGTGACGTCACCTCTTTTTGTCAAAACACATGTCACTGAAGGAATAGTCCCAGTAATATATAACTATATGAAGAACAAATAAAGTACGGAAATTTGTTTTATCCTTCATGTATTGGATACTTACCATATTTTTGAATACCTATTTTTACCTTTATAAATTGTAGTCTAGTAGTCTGAATAACAGAATTTAATGTTAAACTAAACCAGACATAAATTCATTATAGAACTGTACCCGGGTTAATAATGTCCAAGATTTTCCTTCAAAATTTTCCAAACCTCATCAGAACTTTCCCTTTGTAACTCTACCAACAAATAATTCCACGTAGTCTGTTGAACTCAGTAACATTATAAATGTCAGTTTTAATTTACGTTCACGTTAAACTCAACGTATTTGCTACCCACCCTACCGTGGTGACATTTTGATGGAAAAAAACGGCGAAGGGAAAGTTACATCCAACGAACGATTCAAACCGAGCCTCATATAAATATAACCTTTTGAACGAGCGATGTATGACAAAAACATAGTGTATATTGTAGTTATAGATTCACTGAGAACTTTAGAAATACTACGTACTGGTACATGTGTATGTTGTATCTCAAATAATGTTAATATAACTAATGAGACATGATCCATGATGAGTGAAGGTATCGAGTTCCTCCTCGTATTAGTAACAGGATATGGGTTTTGTGTCCGTGTGTTTTCATATCATTCTAAAAAAGTGATTTAGAAGACGAGGATAATGTATTAATAAATTAAACTTCATCTTGTATATGTGTTCCGTAAATGAATTTGTTAAGGAAAAAGCAAATCCGCTCAGAAAATCTTATTTCTTATATTTGATATAGAACAATGAAGTAGTAAAGTCAGAATCCTTGACTTTCTGATATACATATGTAATGATATATTATAATATTGGTCTTAATCAAAATATTTTAATTATGTAATTTAAAGCAGAAACTTGAATTAAACAATATTGGATGAATCTCTGGCATTAGAGTCACTAAGAAAATTATACGAAATTCCTTGCAAAATATATTAAGTACCATTATACTAAAACATTTCTATGTAATTTTCTTATGTTTCATAGCTATATCGTTTGAACTATTCCAATATATATTTAAGAGCTGTTTATTAATTGTAGTTTATAATTGTTTCAAGACATTAATCAGCTGTAATGAATGTAGGCAGCGAGTCTCATTCATTCCTTGTTGTAACGAACGATATTTAACTCAACAATAAACATCTACAAATACTAATTAGGTCAGAACGGATTCATTTATAAATGTTAAGACTTATTAAAATGAAAATAAAATTTAGATAAAGGCTTGGAAATAGAAAATAATTTGTATTTATACGATGTTATATTGATAATTAAGTTGTAATAATATATGTATTGTAATAAGTAATTTTCCTCGTCTCAGAGTCAACGTTAACTTGATCGATGCTACCAATAACAGATAAGACTTTATTTATTATCTCCGCGCACTGAACGGAGAGTTTAAATTATACAAGATAACAGAAACTCTCAGTGACTGTTATCACGAGTGAATTGTATTTACTATCATACTGTCAGTACGACCGTGTGTCAGTGACAAACAAATATACAGATGGTACACGTTATGTGAGGTTAGGACTTTTGATCTGACTAAGAGAAATTTCAATCTGCGAAGTTTTAAAAACCTAAGTCTATAGATAGGTTAGTAAAAGTACGCCCATTAACAGATATATGTGTTAAATTAAAATTAGTGGTTATTAAAATAATATTTTTGGTAATTTTGATATCATAAATATGATCGAAAAACGTGCTCCTGGCCGAATAGCTGGCTCAGACCGGTTTTCCTCCGCATCATACATTACCTGCTCTCCACTGAGTTTAATGTAACGTTCAATACTTAACATGCAATGTATGTTAAAGTTGAGGCGACGTACAGATTATAAAAGGTACAAAATGTTCGTGTGATGGTAGCTGGTATTGTTTTATTTGGTGATATGAGTTGAGCGACTACTGTTTAAAACATATTACGTACTTGGTACTTATATTGACACGAGGATGTCGTGCGCTCACTCGAACTTGTTGTTTAATACGAGATAACTAATATTACAACATCATAATCAATATATTTGTAATATTAAAATTTAAATAAAACTAATATTTTTGTAAAAACTACATACTTCCAACATTTCGGTTATTTTTCATCAACCGTGATCACGGACAGACGAGATTTTTTAATTTATTATAAGTACGATGGTCATATATTTATATGAATGTGTCTGATAAATTACATATTAAACTCTCAGTTAAAAATGTGTACATGTAATATTACGATCTATATACACAATTATTCTTTGATATATATAACAGTCATTGGTCTCACCCCACACCTGCTATACATGAATTCATTTAACTGTAGTAGTTCAGATGTTAACTTTAATACAAACAGCGTGCGTGGGTTTGATATTAGTCTGCCTCTCTCTGGCCGCGACTCCTCGGGGCACAATTAAAACACATCTGGACCTGTGACTCGAGAGATCATTATCAGTGGCTCCGTACAATCATACATCGTTTAATATAATTTTATAACGACTGCCTCTAAACTACTAATAGCAGATAATTAGTTCCAAACGTTCCTTGATACATTACTATCAATAATCCATATTTACGAGTATGTATAGTGTATTTGTGGCTACAATATATTAATTATTAATATAATATCAAAACAGTATTTAACACACAACATCTCTCCGGAACGAATCATTAAACTGTTCAGAGGATCTCAGCATCACTTATTGAATGGAATGCCAGTGTTCAACTCGTCTCTACAGATGGATCATTATACTAGTTCGTTCTCCCGACTCCGCTCTCTTTTTGTGTGATAATTGTTTTTTAATAGACCCCAGGAGTAGCTTGTAGTAGCTCGTCCTCCCGCTCGTTAATTGAAATGATCCTCTATAATTGTTGATAGTTTTTATATTAATAGTACAAGCTCGGTCTGTTTAATGATACGACACGATGAAGGTTAATTTTAAATAAAATTTATAATATGTGACATTAAGGAGGCTCGGTTTACGACTTATTAATGTAAAATATTAACTCGAATACATTAAGGTAGCGACGGACTCAAGAGGCATGTGTTGTGTGCGGTCCGCCCGTGAAGAACGGTTTTTATGTGTCTCATTTACAGTGGACACGAGTGATACAGACAGAGACTTGGAATTAAAAACAATCAAATAAAAATAACAATCATTTGATATACAATAAGCTCCATACTATTATTACATTCACTGAATATGTCGCTGAGTGAGTTAGGTAATATATCATTCTATCAAACATAGAAAAACAAAAGTTGTAGTCTTAAAAAAAGGTTATTTAATTTATAATAGTGTCTGTATGTTCGTATGTTATATTGATATTAGATAGTCTCAGAACAGATAAGATAGTAAAGGGAAAATAATTTTAAATGAAGCGGTAAATCACATAGCGGGAACAGAACGCCGGTCATAAATAAAAGGGAAGCGATCGACGCGGAGCGAGGAACTAGGCTTAATGGATACCTCGACTACAGACGTGGGCTAGGACGAACGAAAATAAACCTTAAATATAATAGAATAAGAGCTAGGAGATATAAACCTAGCGATGAGTAAAAGTTAATAGGATTTAGGGCGGAACCGAACATTATGTTGTCCAGCGATAGGAACCAGAGGAACCCAGACCAGCGATACAGAACGAACACACTGTGAGGTTGAGGGAGAGACGAACACACACTGAGGATACAATAAATGAGAGTGAATGAGCAGAGACGGGACTGAAGCTAGTGTTGAAAGAAATCAGAAGACATGGCGACCACAGCGACCAGGCAAATAAAGTCATCCAACTCAGCGAACATTCTGATGTGCAAGCAATGGTGGAAGGTGTGCTGGATGTACGGAGACCAGGAGAAGTACTACAGGCAGCTGTACGGGAGACGGAAGGTACACCCGACCACATACTACGACGACACGAGGAGCGAGGGGGCGAGGGCCACGGAGCTCAGCGAGGAGTTCTTTGAAGAATACAGCAACCAGGACCCGGCTCAAGACGAGACGTGCCAGGATAAAAGATGGTTCGGAGTGGAGTCTGAACCGATATATGGCTTTAATAGAACCTGGACCAGAGACCAAAGACGACGACCGATACAGAACTACGACCAGGACGAACTGGAGGGTGATGCAGGGAGAGGAGACACGAATACACCTGGCAGAAGAAAAGATATACACAGTGATACGAAGACTACTGATAGGAGAACTGGGAGAACAAGGAAGAGTGAGACTGAGTTACCACATGATGGAAAGACCTTCCCCACGAAGATACAAAGACCTGTCAAACCAGCGAGGAAAGTGGAGAAAGACATCCTGCAGCCGCTACAAGAAGAAGAGAGAGAGAAGAGGAAGAGTCCGCAGACTGAGAGGTGTTGTAATGAGTGAGTATTGTATAGTAATGTATAAAGTTTACTTCAAATTACTCTCTTTGGGAAACTCGTGTTTAGAGAGGGAACAAACATTTCGTTTATCTTTTATTATTCTTGTAAACTTTAATTAATGTGATATTCTTAATATTTTTCAAATAGTTTTCTGCTTTTAAATTTTTCGCATTCCCTTGTCCTTTTGAATTATATTCAAACTTTCACTATGTATCAGTATGTTTCATATTAATATCATTATTAAAATCAACTAGGTATAAGTATTCAGTCGTTATTAATAGAATCATATTTGTGTCTTCATCTCTACCTGACCTTAGTATCCTCACTCACCAGAGTCTGGAGACTTCTTCAAATCTTCAATTTGAAATACAGGAGAGGTTCTTATCAATATCTGAGTGTGTTTATTAAACAGAGCTTCTCCGCTCATACAAAAGAGTTCAACGTCGTCCCGTCACACACAAAGAGAATTAATGTTCTGTCGTGAACACAGACAATAATAATTAAATACAAATAAAAAATATTAATTAAATTTTATATTAAATCACATATAATAAATAAATTATGTATATTAATATTTAAGAGTATTTCTGTATATAAAATTAATTGATTAAAAGAAATGAAATTTAATATTTGTTATAAATATTCTATTATGTGTTAGTATGAGTTTTCTCCAACCGTTAACTGTATGTAATAATTTTACTTATATTAAAGGTTTTAATTATATTTTGTTTATTATAACACTAGTCTCTGTCCGCGGTTTCTCTCCCTATCCGTCATCATTGTATGAACATGTTGAGTCAGAAGTCAGTATAATAAATATGATGGTGTATTCAATATAAGATGATGAATGAGAGATGTTTATAATACAAGGAAATGTCTGTCACCAGTGATGTACAGACTACAGGCGGACGGAGGATCTACTGTGTATATATATATATATATATATATACTACCTTATGATACAGAGACGCGGACCAGAGACTGATATTGACTATGAAATATTATATTATATGTAACGAGATATATTAATATATAACACATCAATTAATACAATATATTCATTTAAATCAAACTAGTATTTTTCGCATGTACTACTATAAACTACATACTCCTGATGTTCTTTATGTGCTACAAAATATTGTTTTATTTCTTATTTGGAAAACATTTATATTTCGATGTTGAGTAAACTAAATAACTTGCTTTTTATTGAGTACACTTCTACTTCGTTCTCATTCATACAACAGTAAGTTGAGATGAAACAGATGACGTTTGTGACATCTGTATACTTTAATACAAGAATATATTTCAAATGAACAACATCTATATAGTATCTATATAGTATATAACTTTAAATCATTATTGATAACACATAGTTCTGATGAAAATTTTATGAAATTAATTATTGAAATGTTTGAAATAAAATCGAATTATTATTTAAAATTAATTTATTATTATTATTAATTAAAATAATTATTTTCAAACAATTTGGACGACTATATAGACATATATCTTGTAATTCCTTTGACTATTTTCTATGGTTAATTAGTTGATTGTAAGTACTCTTTGTTACGAGTAAGATAATGTAATGTATTGTAAGGTGACTATGTGTGACGTCACTAGTATGTGTGACGTCACCAACTATGTGTACAGCCTGAGGGAGAGGCCGCACCTACTGACAACAAGACAGACATGACGAAACACATGTATATAGAGAGAGAGAGAAAGAACGAGTGTGTGTGTGTGACAGAGAGAGAGTATGTATGAATATTTCGTATAGCAATAAATTAGTAGCAAATGTTAAGAGAAGACATTCCTTGAACACACTGGTTGTTGATCGATCTGTCACTGTATAATAATAGTTAAACAACACTTACACCATGCACACAAAGAAGTATATTAATTTGTTATTTATATATACTCTATACTCATTCAATGAAAAGCAAAATTAATGATAATGCGTATATTTAAAAATCTTTTAAGCGCTCCATGCACCTCCGCCTCCCAGTCGCTCATGATAACGTGTAATTCATGATTTTGATAAAAAATAACTTAGTTACTTATACATCAGCTACTTCCTAATAAAAGTTCCGTCAAAATCAGTCTAAAATTTTCAGAAATAAGACAGAACAAACAGACACAGACAAAATGTAAAAAAACAAATTAATATATGTATCTTTTAAATGTAACTAATATTTTTCGGATATACTAAGCGGTTTAATTTTTCAAAAAAAAAATGTACAAAAACGAATAAAACTAGCGAAATTCTTAGATCTCATTGTGATATATGTACCGTATATATATAATATATGCGGTACATATATCAAATAATAAAGCAATTAATCTTCTACACAAAAATACCAAAAATAATACAAATTTGGGACACAAAACAAAAATAAAGGGTCAGTCGACAAAAAATCTGTAATTTTTCTAAAAGAAATTCAAAGGCTTGAGAAGGGTGAGGTTTAACTACAAAAATGTTATTTCTATATTACAAACAGACACTCAAATTATATTTATATATATATCAATATAATATTTGTGTACAATATAGGATGTATTAACATCAATGTATGTATTATATAATGTATTATAACTCCTCACTCGACCTGACGCGGACCAAGCTGACTACACTGAACGGCTTCCCGACATCCTTCCTTTAAACATTCACACGAGTATACACTAACTATTAGTAGAATATCCTTTGATTTTATTACTTTATATATCTTCTTCTTTAACCTGGCAATTTCTGGGCTTTAGCCAGGGTCTGCCTTACATGATGTGAATAGTTTCGGCTAATTGTTTTACGACGGCCGCCTGCCTGACATCAACCCTAGTTGGGAATGCATTAAGCAGTGATGTCTAAATACTCTTATATAGTACATATGACTCTGAAAAATCACATTAGTACTTGAAAGGATCGAACCCGAACCCTCTTGCATGAGAGGCTTCTAACCACTAGGCCACCACTGATTTTTTTTATTTTATTGCTTGATATATATTTCATACAAACGAAACATTAAAATACTTTTTGTATACTTTGTTAAAGCATAAAGGTCAACTATATATAAAGCCTTAAATCTCTATCTTTTTTATAGTAAGAGTAATGGCTATTTTCTGTTACAATATACCATCTTTAAGATTCTTATCGTTATCTCATTAATTATTATGAATGCACAATGTTTTAACTATAACCTTATCTGACTTTTGTTTCAGTTCATAAAGCTCTTTTCAAATATCTGATCTTTGTTTCAGTTCTTACATATATTTTCAAATATTTCAAACTTAATATATCAGTTATTTCTATACAGCCTTCATCTGTCTCTGTATGTATGTCTGTCTGTCTCTTACCCGGGTCTCATATGTAACTCAATACTGATACTTATAAGATATAAGATAATATTCACATTTATATCTTAAAACGCTGTCTTGGTCTTTATTATTTTTTGCACGCGACTTCGTCCGCGTTAGTTTTGTCATTAGTAATATATGTATAGCTGACCGGGCGAACTCTATTCCGTTTTAGAGGCCATTAATAATTAGGTTTCTCCTGTTTCAATCGAACAGAATGATTGACTATTGATATTAGTTAGTTGTCAAATCTAATGTCAAAAAAATGTTTGTATGGGAAATAGAAAAGGACTGTTTTTAGGATTTTCCCGGCCATTATTCCAATTTTTCTCACCTTTTAAACCTTCCCTGGACTTCCAGGAGTACTTCAAGACTAAAATTAGCCCAATCGGTTCAGCCGTTCTCGAGTTTTAGCGAGACTAAGGAACAGCAATCCATTTTTATATATAGAGAAGATAGAAGATTAAAGGTAATAATATCTTTTTAGTCTTTTTTTTTGGATACGGTATGATTTGTCATACTTGTTGTACGAAAACAACTGCCAAGCAATATAAGAAGCAGAAAAAAATTGAAATAATTTGAATGAAACTAAAAAACTACTAAACTAAAACTACATATACCCGACGATTCAGTTACTTTGTAGTAACCGTGGCCTGGTTTTAAAAATCCCTACCAATATTATAAATTCGAATGTAACTCTGTCTGTCTGTCTGTCTGTTACGCTTTCACGCCTAAACCACTGAACTGATTTAAATCGACATCGAGTTGACCTCAAGAAAGAAAGAACATATGTAGAATAGTTTTTATCCCAGACTTTTGATGGGTTCTCTTGAAAACGCGATATAACGGAACTCCACGCGGGCGAAGCTGCGGGCGGAAAGCTAGTAATATATTAACGTTTACGCTTACGCTTACTTTCGTTAAAATGAATACTTGCTTAGATCTCGTTGTGAAATAATTTGATCCAAAGAACATCTATCTGATACTTTCTGTGTTGTATGGTAAATACTAACTCTGAACAGTATCTGATACGTTAAGAGATGTTCAAGACTACTTCCCAGAACTCATTCTCGTACTTTGTGTGGATCAAGACAAGTTTATTCGTAAAAAAAACACTACTATTCTTGTGAATAACAGTATTATTTCCTCAATGACATTAAATCTAACTTCTAAAGCCAAGAATCCATTAGTAGAAGGTGAACAATGAACATTCCTCTCATCATCTTCTTTAAACACGGCATCATAGTTTCTTCAATGTATTCTCTTCTCTTCTTGTAATGATTTCTGTAAGTATTTTTCTCATTTCAATCGTCTATATTTTCTTCTTCTAGCCTCATACATTATAATCTTCTCTCTCTGTAATGTCAAACTTATTTTTTGTCAAACAAACACTAAAATATTGATCAGTTCTTCGACAGGCCGTGTTTGTTGACACTTTCCACTGTTCCTGTCTCTTTCATTCTCGCGTGATGTCCGTAGTGTTAGTGTGAGACGGGTGATTTGTTGAATTTGACAGTAGCCCGTGAAGCCTCTCTGTTTGGTGAACACTCCAAGTTGTGTTGTGGTGGCCATTATATGAAAGATTGTTAGTTTTTTCTTAAAATATGGTAAAAATACAAAACGACCCCTCTTTAGAATCAGTTTGATATTGTACAT